CAAGTTTTGGGAAATTCTTAATTTAAATTTCAAAATTATTTTATGCTATGAGACGAAGATCTAAGAAATTAAGAAGTTATTGAACTCTTAAGTACGTGAATATTTGAAAATTTATAATTATGCATTGTAGGGTTAAATTATTTTGCTATTATATTGCATATACACATATAGACATAAATGTTTGTAAACTTTTTTTTTAAAACGTATTTATATTAAATCGAATGTATTCAAATTATTTTTAAAATTTATTAACGAAAATATTAAATTTATAAATTTTTTAATAAATTTTTATGTGAGATATGTACAATATATATGTGTGTTAAGATAAATAATCTATTATGTACAATATAATTTACTCTCCTATAACATATACTATATATTTTGTTTAAAATATGTGAAAATATTAAAGAGATGGAAAATATTTAAAAAAAATTTTGTATGGATAAAATGTTTCAAATAATTCAAACAGAATAAAATTTAAATACGCCAATCCTTACTAACTTTTTCACCACCTTCCTTTCTGTCCGCGATACTTATATCCCGGATAATAAGGAATTAATATACGAGAACAGTCGAATATTGTGCAGTTATCAATTTCCAAATGTGGGCAAAAAATCCAATGCGTGTTGTAAATAAGTTTATAGAATTTAATTTATATATTAAATATTTTTACTATATTTACACATATTTTAAAATTATTAGTAAAAAAAATTGATTTTAATTGAATTTATATTTATTTTCTGTTTATTTCCGCAATTTATGAAAAATTTAATTTATCTTTCCTTAATTATCCACGAGAATATTGCTTATATTTATTTACTATGATCCTTACTAACTCTCTACCATTTCCTTTTTCTTCCTAATTAGAAATATATCACGATTTGGCTAATTCGCAATCTGATAGCCGCAATTTATGCGTCTAAAATGAAGATTGTTTTTAGCTTATTCGTTACAATATGTTAGTGCTTGCATGATGTAGTTGATACTTGGCCTTAAGCAATTCTTCTGATAACAATCTTAGTAATAATAATAATTTATATATATTTTTTTTTTTTTTACCATACGCACAGCTATTCAACATTTTGTTTTAATTACGTTACATTCATATTAAAAATTTATATTTATCAAGCAACGATTTTTTTAATTTTAAGAACATTCAAAATATTCTTTACAGCACACCATGCTTAGAGATATAAAACAAACTATGTAATATTGTATAATCACAATTGGGCTTTTTGATCATTATATAATTATCCAATTTTTTTAGTATTTAAGAATATATATTTTAATTTGTTTCCTTAATTTTAATTATATTTGTACTTTGAAATTTTTTTCCACTAATTGTAATAATAACCAAAAATTTAATAAAAAAAATGGTGATCAAAGAACAACAAGATTGCCGCAAAAAAAAACTTTTTTTTATACCTAATAAATAATAGTTCTAAATAATAGTTTTTTTACAGTTGGGTTTCTACATAACAAACACAATTAAGTATAAAAATTTTTATATATTATGTAGTACACTTGGAGCTCTGATATGTACGTGTATGCTTTATTTTTTGACGCATGTATGCTCTATTTGTTAAACATACATGTATGCTTTCGTTCACAAAATGCTATCGATATCGATTTCTTTTGAATCGAATTATACAATTACAACAATGCTGGTCAAGAACAATTCGATGGCTCCAAATTCAGAACTATGCGCACATGCAACTATCTACAAATTTTTGTACACCAGCTTTTAATAGAAATTCCATAAATATGTACAAAAAAAACTATTTGTTGTAAGTTGTTCGAAAAAGACTCAAAATATTTTGTGAATGAATCACAGTTAATATTGTCCATTTCTAGTGAGAACTTAAAATTTTCATTGGAATCTTCGTATTGCATCTAACGGTCACCCAGCACCAGTGAAGTTGAGGCCGTTTTTGCAGATTTTATACAGTTTGAATTTAACGAACGTGCTTTATATTAAGATCTATAAGTTAAATTAATCATCGAAAATTCCTGTACTTTTAAGATATGTCACTGAATTACGACTATGTAATCCGTGACTTCAATAATGCTTTATAAAAAGTTAAAGTATTAATTAATGCGATTGTAGTACTTTTACATTGTGAAAAAAACTGCTAAAATTTTTGATACATTTTAGAATACAATTTGCACAATACTAATACATACTTTGACGTTTGCTTGAAAATTTCAATTTAAAGCTCTGTGCAAATGTTAATTTTTAACAAACGTTATCACTTAATTAAAACATAGCATTTTTATGCTGCATTTTGGGAAAAGCACTTTATATGTATAAGAAAAGCGTGCTCGATTTTTTCGATACCCAATTTACTTTTATTTTAGGTAACCACTACGTATAGAGCGCATTTAGGAAAAGTGTACAAATTTTAAGCGCATTATTGAAGTCACGGTTTGTATTGTAGCACTTTTCTCTTCAAAATGAATTTTGTATTGTAGCCCTTTTAAAAACAATCTATGCATACCTTCTTCACCAGTGATTCCCAAAGTTCCACCAAGGGACATGCTACAAAATAACATGAATTTAATTAAATAAGTATTAAGAGGGTATATCAAAAATTCAAAAACACGACAAGAGGTCTACGAGGAAAAAAGTTTGGGAGCCTTTGTTCTACACTATTCAAATTATTTTCATTCTTATACAAAACTATTTCAAGGATTGCATACATCTGCCGGCAAATGTCCTCTTTAACATGTGCGCATATAATATTTGCATTCCGTTAACTTGTTCAATAAACTAAAACTCATGAGTTGCTTAAAATCGTAAATGGAACTAAAAAGAAAAAAAAAATTGACCCAAGTTTACAACAAATATAAAAAAAGATTTTAGTATAATAAACCGGAAATTGTTTAAATGTGAATAAAAAATAGAAAAATTGAAGTTTTAATTATCAAAAAAGAGATGGCGCTTTGAGAAAAAACTCGATAAATTTCCAAGTCCTGAATGTGCGTATAGCTATCCTTAACAAGAATAATTAATAGAAATGTATGTATACCTAGAATAAAAATTATAAATGCCAGTATCTTATTAGATTAATTAAGATTTGAATTGAATAATTTTAATTATTGAGAAAAATTATTACAAAAAATTTTATATTGAAAATAATTTAAAAACTATTTTAATTATTTCTATTCTATAGTTACATAGTACTTGGCTGCATAAACTCTGATGAGTAATATATGTATTAAAAATTACCGTAAATAAAAGTTTCCATATAAATTTAATATTTATTTAATTCATTAATATCTGAAAAGATTATAATATAACTAATGTATTGAACCGAATTCTGGTTCTGAGAATTCGGTTTCAAAGTATGATCATATTTAATTATAAATGCATTCTAAAATCCTTTATATACAAAAGTGATTTTCCATAGTTCATCATATGCACTGATAAAGTTCTAAATTAAATTTTAAAAGCCTTTTTACACATACACTTACAAATCTGTAGAAACTGAATATTTTTATTTTACAGGTTTTGTAACAGTATTAGAGAGTAATTCTTTAATATCTAACAATTTTCTATTATTTAAATTAGAACATCTTCTAATTAATAATATTTTTACAGTATAGGTATAAAAAGTTTAAAAATTCTTTTAGAACTTTAAGCGCAAACTATATTTTTCTTATCTCAGTCTTGTATTTTCGTAGAATTTGCAGTTTGAGTTTATAGAATGTGCCTTATAATAAGCGCTAACTTAGAACTGAATTATTGGAAATCCCCAAATAATCATAATTGCAAGCCAACAGATCGAATATACACAAATCCATTTTGGTAATCAATGATTCGTTTACATGTAGTAGTAAGAAGTTTTTCATTTTAAAATCTATAATTTTTTGTTTTAAAATTTTTTATCTTTTTTTTACATTAGGTAGTAAGTGTTGGATATGTTAGTGATAAACAGTAAAAAAAAGTTTCAAATTTCGTTAACGCAGCGGTTTTCTATTTAGAAAGAATTTTTAATTTCTACAAATATTTTAAGAGTGCGCAATAAATGATCTGATTTTGATTGAATTGATTTTGTAGTTAGAGAGAGAAAGAAAAAGAAAAAGAGAGAGAGAGAAGAAAGAGAAGAATCGAATGTGTATAACGTTAACGCATTGTCAATATTATTTACAGAAGTATTTATTATACCCAACATTGTACACAAAAATGAAGTTAGACCTGAAATAGTAAAATTTGTATATGAAAAAGAATAATCGAAAATGATCCTTTTGAATCTCGTTATGAGAGAAAGCTGTTGAGCTGTTTCTCATGAGGGGAAGCTGTTGAGCTGTTCTCTTATGAGGGGAAGTTGTTGAGCTGTATGTGACTAACAAAGTGAATACTGTCTTTATACAAAAAAAAAATATCTGCTTCAAGACAAGTCAATGCGTGCTGTGGTTATATTACAGTTCAATTTGAATTAAAACGCCTAGATTATAAAGAGAACCTATATAGATTCCTATATGGAATATCGTACAACATGCCTCTGAAGTATAACTAAAATATATAAGTATGACACTGGATATAATATAAATTATTATCACTTTATATTATTATATTATTTATCTTGATTACACTTACCTTTTCCATATGCTTATAATAAAAACACTTGATATCTCCTATATTTGATATTATAGATCCTTTCTTATAAATAATGTCATACAGCGGTAATGACGCCAAACATATACTTAAATATTATATACTTTTTAATTAAATAAATTTTATAATATGTCCGCATATATGGTCACCCTAAAAAACAAATTTCTGCATGCAAATTTTTGTTGTTTTTTTTTGTTCTTGTATTGAACTATTAATTTTGCAAATGTTTCTTTTTTATGCTACCAGAACAGATTTTTTCTCTTTAATTTTTATTGCTCTGATTTGATTTTTATTGTTCTCATATTTCTGACATTATCGATGAATTAAATACAGCCATTTAAATAAGCTTCTCTATATAAATTCGATTTACATAAGAATTTCTTCATCAGTTTCATTTAATCAGTTGTTGTGGTAACACACACAGTGTTTTATAAAACCATGAAATTGGTATGTTTTATTAAAAATTAAATTCAAATTATTTTTTAATCATTTCAAGTTACATTAATAATATAATTAAAAATATATAAAAATTAAAAAAAATAATTAGTTTTGGAAAATTTATTAATAAAATATTTTCAATTTTTAAATAAGAAAATTTAAATTAAAATTTTTTTAATTGCAAATCATCATGTTTAATCATGCTTTTAAATTTTAATTTTCATTTGTTTCAAGTTCGAAGAAAAGCCTACTTGCATGATAGTTTTGTACTTAATATTACTTTTTACTTTTGTAATATTGTATAAATGTGTGGTAAGAAAATTAATGATATTATTCTCGAAGTTCCTATATACAATTGTATAATGTAGAATTAAAAATTTTTTACAAGATAAACGGCTACAATTGAGTCCTACATGGATGTAATTCGTTCCTAATGTAATTTTTTTCTATAACATATAAAATATTGTTGTTGTACTTCGAGTTTTTATAATTATAAAGTGGTGCTTCCAAAATAATTTTAATTTAATTTTTAAATTTTGAAAAGTTCAAATTTTTTGTTTTATTAATTTTCAATGTTGTAATTTCATTTTAAATTCAGAGCCTGGATTTCAAAACAAAGATTTACTGTTAAATTTCTTTAACTTTATACCATTTTGCTATGTTTTTCAATATTTTATTTAAATTAATTAAGAAATTTTCGTATTAAATTAAGAAAATTAATTTCGCGACATGTGTACCTTAAATATTGTCCAGACTTACGTCTTAAAATAGACTTTCATATTTTCTTGTGTATAAATTCTGCGTCATAAAATTATTTAAATATTTAGTAAAAATTAATTTTATAAATTCTTTTTTGTTTTGGGTTTTCTTAAAGGTTAAGAAATTTAATTAAAAAAATTTAAGATCTTTTTAATTTTTTTTAAAATTAGAACTTTTTTCAATATATTTTTAACTTCTTTTTTTATTTTTTTCATTTTTTGACAAATTTATACAGATAAAGAAAAAGAAAAAGAGAAAAAAACAGCGAAAAGTGTGGTGTCGTCGCCACATTTTTCGCAAAGCTTAATATTTAAAAAATAAATAGTCAAAATGTTGTTGTGTTAACAAAGTCCTCGGATAGTCCTAAAAAATTGAAATCATCAACACAACATGTAAGTATCAAACAATTTTTTTAATGAACTATAATTAATTTTTTAAATATTTTTTTTTACTTTTTCCTGAAACTGCAGTCATCTTCTTTAAAATGTCCGTCCAATCATTATATTAAAGAAGAATTTGGGGTTCAAATTAATTTATGTGAAACATCTATAATTAAATTAATTTTGGAAAAAAAATTTTGGTTGACATTTTGGACAAATTTTAGGCGAATGTACCAAAAATATAAGGTAAATAAAATTTTTTCTATCAAAATTTATTGTACATACATAGTTTAGCGAATTTATTATTGTACATACATAGTTTATAGAATCAGATTGAATTCAATAATTGTAATTAGTAAAAACTATGGTTTTATTCAAGTTTTGGGAAATTCTTAATTTAAATTTCAAAATTATTTTATGCTATGAGAAGAAGATCTAAAAAATTAAGAACTTATTGAACTCTTAAGTACGTGAATATTTGAAAATTTATAATTATGCATTGTAGGGTTAAATTATTTTGCTATTATATTGCATATACACATATAGACATAAATGTTTGTAAACTTTTTTTTTAAAACGTATTTATATTAAATCGAAAGTATTCAAATTATTTTTAAAATTTATTAACGAAAATATTAAATTTATAAATTTTTTAATAAATTTTTATGTGAGATATGTACAATATATATGTGTGTTAAGATAAATAATCTATTATGTACAATATAATTTACTCTCCTATAACATATACTATATATTTTGTTTAAAATATGTGAAAATATTAAAGAGATGGAAAATATTTAAAAAAAATTTTGTATAGATAAAATGTTTCAAATAATTCAAACAGAATAAAATTTAAATACGCCTAATCCTTACTAACTTTTTCACCACCTTCCTTCTGTCCGTGATACTTAGGAATTAATATACGAGAACAGTCGAATATTGTGCAGTTATCAATTTCCAAATGTGGGCAAAAAATCCAATGCGTGTTGTAAATAAGTTTATAGAATTTAATTTATATATTAAATATTTTTACTATATTTACACATATTTTAAAATTATTAGTAAAAAAAATTGATTTTAATTGAATTTATATTTATTTTCTGTTTATTTCCGCAATTTATGAAAAATTTAATTTATCTTTCCTTAATTATCCACGAGAATATTGCTTATATTTTTTTACTATGATCCTTACTAACTCTTTACCATTTCCTTTTTCTTCCTAATTAGAAATATATCACGATTTGGCTAATTCGCAATCTGATAGCCGCAATTTATGCGTCTAAAATGATGATTGTTTTTGGCTCTTTCGTTGCAAAATGTTAGAGCTTGCATGATATAAATTAAGCTTGGCCCTAAGCAATTCTTCTGATAATTATTTAATAATTAAGTAATAATAATAATTTATTTTTTTTTTTCTTTTTTTTACCATACGCACAGCTATTTTAATTATGTTACAATTGTATTATTTAATTAAATCGTAAATTCATGATTAATTTTTTTATTATCAAATATACACAAACAAATAGATACGTAATTATTGGAATATTTTAGGTCCACTTAACAACAAACTTGGACTTTTTGCTTTTCAGATTAATAACTAGTATTAAATATAAAAGTATAAATGTATAATTAAACGATGCTAGTTTTGTAAGGAATATTGTTTTTTAAGTTCTATAATTATTTTACCATTATATTATATAACAAATGTGTGTAGATGTTTACATAATATATGAATTCAAGTTTCAAAAATATGTTAATTACTGTAATCAGTTTTTTTATATAAATGTATTTATATATATTTAGAGGTAAATGCAGTTCAGTGATTTCAAAATTTCTCATAATATACTAATTTTATATTGCTTAATATATATATAGATATATAATAAATCGGTATATGTATTTACAACCTTTTAAAACACTGATTTGTTATATAAATATATGTATATATATATGTATATATATCATTATTATATTATATAGTTATTTTGAAATCGTATAATATATAATGTATATATCAATCAATAAATATTATATACGCATACGTACGATTAATACTTTAAGATCATTCCACATATAAATTTTAAATGAATTTATATATGCATATATCATATATGCATATGTAACTTTATGTATATACATATATATGTATACGTATATATATATAGATGTTATTGGTTTTGGCAGTTTCGATATAATTTTCCCTTTTGAATTTTTATATATATATTGAATATATTATAGATTATATAAAAACAATAGGGAATCTATATATATAAATAGTACATATATGTGTATAATATATAAAGATATATGTATATAAATTACATTCATTTAAAAAAGAAACATCACATTATTATTGACTTTTTTTTCGAATTTATAAAGATAAAAAACAACCAATATAATATTGTATAATCACAATGGGCTTTCTGATCATTATATAATTATCCAATTTTTTAGTATTTAAGAGTATATATTTTATTTGTTTTCTTAATTTTTTGTTCATTTAATTGCTACAATACATAGAAGTTCAATAAAAAAAATGGCGATCCAACAACAACAAGATTGCCGTAAAAAAAATAGTTTTTTATTATATGTACCTAATAAATAATAATTCTAAATATTTTTTACAGTAAAGTTTCTACATAATAAACACAATTGCGTATAAAGAGTTTCATTGTGCTTTATTTGTTAATCAGGTATGCTTCGTTCGTTCATAAAATGTAATCAGAGTTGTGAAAACTCAAATACCCGAAAAAAACCAGTATTTCATACTTATAGGATATTTTTCAAGTACCAGTACCAGTACCGTTTACTAGTTATTGAAAAGTATTTTTCTACTAGGTACTGAAAAGTACTGGTTGCATCAATTTATTTACAGGAATACAATAAGCAGTAAATGTAAGAACCGGTAATTTATATTAGAAAATGATATACATATAATTGAATAATTTTTTGATTAATGTCTGGGACCAAATTAATTTGTAACAAAGGAGAATAGCAATTAGAGTACCTAAATCGAATTTTTAATTAAAAATTACTTATTAAAAATCAAATTACAAGTAAACAAAATTTTATTTTCAACGCTTTTAAGTTTTAATTAAAATTTAATCTGAAAATAATTTGTTCTTCTGTTAAGCTTTCCAGTGTTATTCTATTAGCTGTTAGTGTTACTCTCTTAACTTCCCGTTCTTCTGTTAATTCACATTCGTCGTTTAATTTATATTAATTTGCTTGAATATTAATTTAATTTTCGGAAAATTAAATTAACCCTTAAGGTATCAAAAAGTTTAAAGAATTAAAAATTGTTAAAGGGAGAAAAATTAGGGCCACGTTGTTTGTCAGACATTTTCTTTTCTTTTTTAGTTTTATTCGAAATTTTTGAAATTGAGTTAATTTAATGAATTTAATTTAATGAGAATACAAAATGTTAAAGAATTAATAACAACAAAAGCAGAAGTTAACAATTATAAATATTGCTTTTCAAAATTTAATGCAATTTTACAAGTTTACAACAAATATAAAAAAAGATTTTAGTATAATAAACCGGAAATTGTTTAAATGTGAATAAAAAATAGAAAAATTGAAGTTTTAATTATCAAAAAAGAGATGGCGCTTTGAGAAAAAACTCGATAAATTTCCAAGTCCTGAATGTGCGTATAGCTATCCTTAACAAGAATAATTAACAGAAATGTATGTATACCTAGAATAAAAATTATAAATGCCAGTATCTTATTAGATTAATTAAGATTTGAATTGAATAATTTTAATTATTGGGAAAAATTATTACAAAAAATTTTATATTGAAAATAATTTAAAAACTATTTTAATTATTTCTATTCAATAGTTACATAGTACTTGGCTGCATAAACTCTGATGAGTAATATATGTATTAAAAATTACGGTAAATATAAGTTTCCATATAAATTTAATATTTATTTAATTTATTCGGTTTCAAAGAATGATCATATTTAATTATAAATGCATTCTAAAATCCTTTATATGCAAAAGGGATTTTCCATATGCACTGATAAAATTCTAAATTAATTTTTAAAAGCCTTTTCACACATACACTTACAAATCTGTAGAAACTGAATATTTTAATTTTACAGGTTTTGTAACAGTATTCGAGAGTAACTCTTTAATATCCAACAATTTTCTATTATTTAAATTAGAACATCTTCTAATTAATAATATTTTTACAGTATAGGTATAAAAAGTTTAAAAATTCTTTTAGAACTTTAAGCGCAAACTATCTTTTTCTTATCTTAGCTTGTATTTTCGTAGAATTTGCAATTCTGGTTTATAGAATGTGCATTATAATAAGCGCTAACTTAGAACTGAATTATTGGAAATTCCCAAACTTAATCATAATTGCAAGCCAACAAATCGAATATACACAAATCCATTCATGTAGTAGTAAGATTCGTTTACATGTAGTAGTAAGAAGTTTTTCATTTTAAAATCTATAATTTTTTGTTTTAAAATTTTTTATCTTTTTTTTACATTAGGTAGTAAGTGTTGGATATGTTAGTGATAAACAGTAAAAAAAAGTTTCAAATTTCGTTAACGCAGCGGTTTTCTATTTAGAAAGAATTTTTAATTTCTACAAATATTTTAAGAGTGCGCAATAAATGATCTGATTTTGATTGAATTGATTTTGTAGTAAGAGAGAGAAAGAAAAAGAAAAAGAGAGAGAGAGAAGAAAGAGAAGAATCGAATGTGTATAACGTTAACGCATTGTCAATATTATTTACAGAAGTATTTATTATACCCAACATTGTACACAAAAATGAAGTTAGACCTGAAATAGTAAAATTTGTATATGAAAAAGAATAATCGAAAATGATCACTTTGAATCTCGTTATGAGAGAAAGCTGTTGAGCTGTTTTCTCATGAGGGGAAGCTGTTGAGCTGTTCTCTTATGAGGGGAAGTTGTTGAGCTGTATATGACTAACAAAGTGAATACTGTCTTTATACAAAAAAAAAATATCTGCTTCAAGACAAGTCAATGCGTGCTGTGGTTATATTACAGTTTAATTTGAATTAAAACGCCTAGATTATAAAGAGAACCTATATAGATTCCTATATGGAATATTGTACAACATGCCTCTGAAGTATTACTAAAATATATAAGTATGACACTGGATATAATATAAATTATTATCACTTTATATTATTATATTATTTATCTTGATTACACTTACCTTTTCCATATGCTTATAATAAAAACACTTGATATCTCCTATATTTGATATTATAGATCCTTTCTTATAAATAATGTCATACAGCGGTAATGACGCCAAACATATACTTAAATATTATATACTTTTTAATTAAATAAATTTTATAATATGTCCGCATATATGGTCACCCTAAAAAACAAATTTCTGCATGCAAATTTTTGTTGTTTTTTTTTGTTCTTGTATTGAACTATTAATTTTGCAAATGTTTAATTTTTATTGCTCTGATTTGATTTTTATTGTTCTCATATTTCTGACATTATCGATGAATTAAATACAGCCATTTAAATAAGCTTCTCTATATAAATTCGATTTACATAAGAATTTCTTCATCAGTTTCATTTAATCAGTTGTTGTGGTAACACACACAGTGTTTTATAAAACCATGAAATTGGTATGTTTTATTAAAAATTAAATTCAAATTATTTTTTAATCATTTCAAGTTACATTAATAATATAATTAAAAATATATAAAAATTAAAAAAAATAATTAGTTTTGGAAAATTTATTAATAAAATATTTTCAATTTTTAAATAAGAAAATTTAAATTAAATTTTTTTTAATTGCAAATCATCATGTTTAATCATGCTTTTAAATTTTAATTTTCATTTGTTTCAAGTTCGAAGAAAAGCCTACTTGCATGATAGTTTTGTACTTAATATTACTTTTTACTTTTGTAATATTGTATAAATGTGTGGTAAGAAAATTAATGATATTATTCTCGAAGTTCCTATATACAATTGTATAATGTAGAATTAAAAATTTTTTACAAGATAAACGCCTACAATTGAGTCCTACATGGATGTAATTCGTTCCTAATGTAATTTTTTTCTATAACATATAAAATATTGTTGTTGTACTTCGAGTTTTTATAATTATAAAGTGGTGCTTCCAAAATAATTTTAATTTAATTTTTAAATTTTGAAAAGTTCAAATTTTTTGTTTTAATAATTTTCAATGTTGTAATTTCATTTTAAATTCAGAGCCTGGATTTCAAAACAAAGATTTACTGTTAAATTTCTTTAACTTTATACCATTTTGCTATGTTTTTCAATATTTTATTTAAATTAATTAAGAAATTTTCGTATTAAATTAAGAAAATTAATTTCGCGACATGTGTACCTTAAATATTGTCCAGACTTACGTCTTAAAATAGACTTTCATATTTTCTTGTGTATAAATTCTGCGTCATAAAATTATTTAAATATTTAGTAAAAATTAATTTTATAAATTCTTTTTTGTTTTGGGTTTTTTTAAAGGTTAAGAAATTTAATTAAAAAAATTTAAGATCTTTTTAAGTTTTTTTAAAATTAGAACTTTTTTCAATATATTTTTAACTTCTTTTTTTATTTTTTTCATTTTTTGACAAATTTATACAGATAAAGAAAAAGAAAAAGAGAAAAAAACAGCGAAAAGTGTGGTGTCGTCGCCACATTTTTCGCAAAGCTTAATATTTAAAAAATAAATAGTCAAAATGTTGTTGTGTTAACAAAGTCCTCGGATAGTCCTAAGAAATTGAAATCATCAACACAACATGTAAGTATCAAACAATTTTTTTAATGAACTATAATTAATTTTTTAAATATTTTTTTTTACTTTTTCATGAAACTGCAGTCATCTTCTTTAAAATGTCCGTCCAATCATTATATTAAAGAAGAATTTGGGGTTCAAATTAATTTATGTGAAACATCTATAATTAAATTAATTTTGGAAAAAAAATTTTGGTTGACATTTTGGACAAATTTTAGGCGAATGTACCAAAAATATAAGGTAAATAAAATTTTTTCTATCAAAATTTATTGTACATACATAGTTTAGCGAATCAGATTGAATTCAATAATTGTAATGAGTAAAAACAATGGTTTTATTCAAGTTTTGGGAAATTCTTAATTTAAATTTCAAAATTATTTTATGCTATGAGAAGAAGATCTAAAAAATTAAGAAGTTATTGAACTCTTAAGTACGTGAATATTTGAAAATTTATAATTATGCATTGTAGGGTTAAATTATTTTGCTATTATATTGCATATACACATATAGACATAAATGTTTGTAAACTTTTTTTTTAAAACGTATTTATATTAAATCGAAAGTATTCAAATTATTTTTAAAATTTATTAACGAAAATATTAAATTTATAAATTTTTTAATAAATTTTTATGTGAGATATGTACAATATATATGTGTGTTAAGATAAATAATCTATTATGTACAATATAATTTACTCTCCTATAACATATACTATATATTTTGTTTAAAATATGTGAAAATATTAAAGAGATGGAAAATATTTAAAAAAAATTTTGTATGGATAAAATGTTTCAAATAATTCAAACAGAATAAAATTTAAATACGCCTAATCCTTACTAACTTTTTCACCACCTTCCTTTCTGTCCGCGATACTTATATCCCGGATAATAAGGAATTAATATACGAGAACAGTCGAATATTGTGCAGTTATCAATTTCCAAATGTGGGCAAAAAATCCAATGCGTATTGTAAATAAGTTTATAGAATTTAATTTATATATTAAATATTTTTACTATATTTACACATATTTTAAAATTATTAGTAAAAAAAATTGATTTTAATTGAATTTATATTTATTTTCTGTTTATTTCCGCAATTTATGAAAAATTTAATTTATCTTTCCTATATTATCCACAAGAATATTGCTTATATTTATTTACTATGATCCTTACTAACTCTTTACCATTTCCTTTTCCTTCCTAATTAGAAATATATCACGATTTGGCTAATTCGCAATCTGATAGCCGCAATTTATGCGTCTTAATTGAAGATTGGTTTTAGCTCATTCGTTACAATATGTTAGTGCTTGCATGATATAGTTGATACTTGGCCTTAAGCAATTCTTCTGATAATAATAAGATTATATAAATAATAATAATTTATATATTTTTTTCTTTTTTTTACCATACGCACAGCTATTCAACATTTTGTTTTAATTACGTTACATTCATATTAAAAATTTATATTTCTCAAGCAACGATTTTTTTAATTTTAAGAACATTCAAAATATTCTTTACAGCACACCGTGCTTAGAGATATTAAACAAACTATGTAATATTGTATAATCACAATTGGGCTTTTTGATCATTATATAATTATCCAATTTTTTTAGTATTTAAGAATATATATTTTAATTTGTTTCCTTAATTTTAATTATATTTGTACTTTCTGAAACTTTTTTCCACTAATTGTAATAATAACCAAAAATTTAATAAAAAAAATGGTGATCAAAGAACAACAAGATTGCCGCAAAAAAAAAACTTTTTTTTATACCTAATAAATAATAGTTCTAAATAATAGTTTTTTTACAGTTGGGTTTCTACATAACAAACACAATTAAGTATAAAAATTTTTATGTATTATGTAGTACACTTGGAGCTCTGATATGTACGTGTATGCTTTATTTTTTGACGCATGTATGCTCTATTTGTTAAACATACATGTATGCTTTCGTTCACAAAATGCTATCGATATTGATTTCTTTTGAATCGAATTATACAATTACAACAATGCTGGTCAAGAACAATTCGATGGCTCCAAATTCAGAACTATGCGCACATGCAACTATCTACAAATTTTTGTACACCAGCTTTTAATAGAAATTCCATAAATATGTACAAAAAAAACTATTTGTTGTAAGTTGTTCGAAAAAGACTCAAAATATTTTGTGAATGAATCACAGTTAATATTGTCCATTTCTAGTGAGAACTTAAAATTTTCATTGGAATCTTCGTATTGCATCTAACGGTCACCCAGCACCAGTGAAGTTGAGGCCGTTTTTGCAGATTTTATACAGTTTGAATTTAACGAACGTGCTTTATATTAAGATCTATAAGTTAAATTAATCATCGAAAATTCCTGTACTTTTAAGATATGTCACTGAATTACGACTATGTAATCCGTGACTTCAATAATGCTTTATAAAAAGTTAAAGTATTAATTAATGCGATTGTAGTACCTTTACATTGTGAAAAAAACTGCTAAAATTTTTGATACATTTTAGAATACAATTTGCACAATACTAATACATACTTTGACGTTTGCTTGAAAATTTCAATTTAAAGCTCTGTGCAAATGTTAATTTTTAACAAACGTTATCACTTAATTAAAACATAGCATTTTTATGCTGCATTTTGGGAAAAGCACTTTATATGTATAAGAAAAGCGTGCTCGATTTTTTCGATACCCAATTTACTTTTATTTTAGGTAACCACTACGTATAGAGCGCATTTAGGAAAAGTGTACAAATTTTAAGCGCATTATTGAAGTCACGGTTTGTATTATAGCACGTTTCTCTTCAACAAGAATTTTGTATTGTAGCACTTTTAAAAACAATCTATGTATACCTTCTACACCAGTGATTTCCAAAGTTCTCCCAGAGGTCTATGAAGACCCGCTAGGGGTCTACAAAAATATGAATTTAATTGAATAAGTATTAAGGGGGCTATCAAACATTCAAAAACATGACAAGTGGTCTACAAGGAAAAAAAGTTTAGGAACCTCTGTTCTACACTGTTCAACTTATTTTAATTTTTATAGAAAATTATTTCAAGAATTCATACATTTAACGCAAAAAAAATTAAAGGGGTGTTAACATAATGCTTGATTTTTTAATGGCATGAAAGTTACCGTTAGCTTTCTGAAGTTACAGTAATTTGGAAAGGCGATGGCGAAATGAACTATTTATTAGTGTGTAAAAGCTGTTAAAATTTTAGACTTTTACAACCTGCGCTCTAGAAGAAAAACGACTTCAAAAATTTGAAAAAAAAAAACGGATTTTAGATATTTGCATTCCGGTAACGTGTTCAATAAACTACCACTCATAAGTTGCTTAACATCGTAAATGGAAGGCTAATAATATATGCTATAAGATAAAAAAAAATTTTGCCAGATTACAATCCAAATACAAAAAGATTTTAGTATACTAAACCGGAAATTTTTTAAATGTGAATAAAAGATAGAAAAATGGAAGTTTTATTTATTAAAAAAGAGATGGCGCCTGATAGTTAAATTTATTTTTAATAGCGCGATATAAAAAACTCAAAAAATTCCAAGTCCTGAATGTGCGTGTAGCTATCCTTAACAAGAATAATTAATAGAAATGTATGTATACCTAGAATAAAAATGATAATCGCCAGTATGTTATTAGATTAATTAAGATTTGAATAGAATAATTTTAATTATTGGGAAAAATTATTACAAAAAATTTTATATTGAAAATAATTTAAAAACTATTTTAATTATTTCTATTCTATAGTTACATAGTACTTGGCTGCATAAACTCTGATGAGTAATATATGTATTAAAAATTACGGTAAATATAAGTTTCCATATAAATTTAATATTTATTTAATTCATTAATATCTGAAAAGATTATAATATAACTAATGTATTGAACCGAATTCTGGTTCTGAGAATTCGGTTTCAAAGTATGATCATATTTAATTATAAATGCATTCTAAAATCCTTTATATGCAAAAGGGATTTTCCATATGCACTGATAAAGTTCTAAATTAAATTTTAAAAGCCTTTTCACACATAATTTACAAATCTGTAGAAACTGAATATTTTAATTTTACAGGTTTTGTAACAGTATTCGAGAGTAACTCTTTAATATCCAACAATTTTCTATTATTTAAATTAGAACATCTTCTAATTAATAATATTTTTACAGTATAGGTATAAAAAGTTTGAAAATTCTTTTAGAACTTTAAGCGCAAACTATATTTTTCTTATCTCAGTCTTGTATTTTCTTAGAATTTGCAATTTGGGTTTATAGAACGTGCCTTATAATAAGTGCTAACTTAGAACTGAATTATTGGAAATCCCCAAATAATCATAATTGCTAGCCAACAGATCGAATATACACAAATCCATTTTGGTAATCAATGATTCGTTTACATGTAGTAGTAAGAAGTTTTACATTTTAAAATCTATAATTTTTTGTTTTAAAATTTTTTATCTCTTCTTTTACATTAGGTAGTAAGTGTTGGATATGTTAGTGATAAACAGTAAAAAAAAGTTTCAAATTTCGTTAACGCAGCGGTTTTCTATTTAGAAAGAATTTTTAATTTCTACAAATATTTTAAGAGTGCGCAATAAATGATCTGATTTTGATTGAATTGATTTTGTAGTAAGAGAGAGAAAGAAAAAGAAAAAGAGAGAGAGAGAAGAAAGAGAAGAATCGAATGTGTATAACGTTAACGCATTGTCAATATTATTTACAGAAGTATTTATTATACCCAACATTGTACACAAAAATGAAGTTAGACCTGAAATAGTAAAATTTGTATATGAAAAAGAATAATCGAAAATGATCACTTTGAATCTCGTTATGAGAGAAAGCTGTTGAGCTGTTTTCTCATGAGGGGAAGCTCTTGAGCTGTTCTCTTATGAGGGGAAGTTGTTGAGCTGTATATGACTAACAAAGTGAATACTGTCTTTATACAAAAAAAAAATATCTGCTTCAAGCCAAGTCAATGCGTGCTGTGGTTATATTACAGTTCAATTTGAATTAAAACGCCTAGATTATAAAGAGAACCTATATAGATTCCTATATGGATTATTGTACAACATGCCTCTGAAGTATAACTAAAATATATAATATAAATTATTATCACTTTATATTATTATATTATTTATCTTGATTACACTTACCTTTTCCATATGCTTATAATAAAAACACTTGATATCTCCTATATTTGATATTATAGATCCTTTCTTATAAATAATGTCATACAGCGGTAATGACGCCAAACATATACTTAAATATTATATACTTTTTAATTAAATAAATTTTATAATATGTCCGCATATATGGTCACCCTAAAAAACAAATTTCTGCATGCAAATTTTTGTTGTTTTTTTTTGTTCTTGTATTGAACTATTAATTTTGCAAATGTTTCTTTTTTATGCTACCAGAACAGATTTTTTCTCTTTAATTTTTATTGCTCTGATTTGATTTTTATTGTTCTCATATTTCTGACATTATCGATGAATTAAATACAGCCATTTAAATAAGCTTCTTTATATAAATTCGATTTACATAAGAATTTCTTCATCAGTTTCATTTAATCAGTTGTTGTGGTAACACACACAGTGTTTTATAAAACCATGAAATTGGTATGTTTTATTAAAAATTAAATTCAAATTATTTTTTAATCATTTCAAGTTACATTAATAATATAATTAAAAATATATAAAAATTAAAAAAAATAATTAGTTTTGGAAAATTTATTAATAAAATATTTTCAATTTTTAAATAAGAAAATTTAAATTAAATTTTTTTTAATTGCAAATCATCATGTTTAATCATGCTTTTAAATTTTAATTTTCATTTGTTTCAAGTTCGAAGAAAAGCCTACTTGCATGATAGTTTTGTACTTAATATTACTTTTTACTTTTGTAATATTGTATAAATGTGTGGTAAGAAAATTAATGATATTATTCTCGAAGTTCCTATATACAATTGTATAATGTAGAATTAAAAATTTTTTACAAGATAAACGCCTACAATTGAGTCCTACATGGATGTAATTCGTTCCTAATGTAATTTTTTTCTATAACATATAAAATATTGTTGTTGTACTTCGAGTTTTTATAATTATAAAGTGGTGCTTCCAAAATAATTTTAATTTAATTTTTAAATTTTGAAAAGTTCAAATTTTTTGTTTTAATAATTTTCAATGTTGTAATTTCATTTTAAATTCAGAGCCTGGATTTCAAAACAAAGATTTACTGTTAAATTTCTTTAACTTTATACCATTTTGCTATGTTTTTCAATATTTTATTTAAATTAATTAAGAAATTTTCGTATTAAATTAAGAAAATTAATTTCGCGACATGTGTACCTTAAATATTGTTCAGTAGATCAGACTTAAGTCTTAAAATAGACTTTCATATTTTCTTGTGTATAAATTCTGCGTCATAAAATTATTTAAATATTTAGTAAAAATTAATTTTATAAATTCTTTTTTGTTTTGGGTTTTTTTAAAGGTTAAGAAATTTAATTAAAAAAATTTAAGATCTTTTTAATTTTTTTTAAAATTAGAACTTTTTTCAATATATTTTTAACTTCTTTTTTTATTTTTTTCATTTTTTGACAAATTTATACAGATAAAGAAAAAGAAAAAGAGAAAAAAACAGCGAAAAGTGTGGTGTCGTCGCCACATTTTTCGCAAAGCTTAATATTTAAAAAAAAAATTGTCAAAATGTTGTTGTGTTAACAAAGTCCTCGGATAGTCCTAAAAAATTGAAATCATCAACACAACATGTAAGTATCAAACAATTTTTTTAATGAACTATAATTAATTTTTTAAATATTTTTTTTTACTTTTTCATGAAACTGCAGTCATCTTCTTTAAAATGTCCGTCCAATCATTATATTAAAGAAGAATTTGGGGTTCAAATTAATTTATGTGAAACATCTATAATTAAATTAATTTTGGAAAAAAAATTTTGGTTGACATTTTGGACAAATTTTAGGCGAATGTACCAAAAATATAAGGTAAATAAAATTTTTTCTATCAAAATTTATTGTACATACATAGTTTAGCGAATTTATTATTGTACATACATAGTTTAGCGAATCAGATTGAATTCAATAATTGTAATGAGTAAAAACTATGGTTTTATACAAGTTTTGGGAAATTCTTAATTTAAATTTCAAAATTATTTTATGCTATGAGAAGAAGATCTAAAAAATTAAGAAGTTATTGAACTTTTAAGTACGTGAATATTTGAAAATTTATAATTATGCATTGTAGGGTTAAATTATTTTGCTATTATATTGCATATACACATATAGACATAAATGTTTGTAAACTTTTTTTTTAAAACGTATTTATATTAAATCGAAAGTATTCAAATTATTTTTAAAATTTATTAACGAAAATATTAAATTTATAAATTTTTTAATAAATTTTTATGTGAGATATGTACAATATATATGTGTGTTAAGATAAATAATCTATTATGTACAATATAATTTACTCTTCTATAACATATACTATATATTTTGTTTAAAATATGTGAAAACATTAAAGAGATGGAAAATATTTAAAAAAAATTTTGTATGGATAAAATGTTTCAAATAATTCAAACAGAATAAAATTTAAATACGCCTAATCCTTACTAACTTTTTCACCACCTTCCTTTCTGTCCGCGATACTTATATCCCGGATAATAAGGAATTAATATACGAGAACAGTCGAATATTGTGCAGTTATCAATTTCCAAATGTGGGCAAAAAATCCAATGCGTGTTGTAAATAAGTTTATAGAATTTAATTTATATATTAAATATTTTTACTATATTTACACATATTTTAAAATTATTAGTAAAAAAAATTGATTTTAATTGAATTTATATTTATTTTCTGTTTATTTCCGCAATTTATGAAAAATTCAATTTATCTTTCCTTAATTATCCACGAGAATATTGCTTATATTTATTTACTATGATCCTTACTAACTCTTTACCATTTCCTTTTTCTTCCTAATTAGAAATATATCACGATTTGGCTAATTCGCAATCTGATAGCCGCAATTTATGCGTCGAAAATGAAGATTGCTTTTAGCTTATTCGTTACAATATGTTAGTGCTTGCATGATGTAATTGATACTTGGCCTTAAGCAATTCTTCTGATAATAATCTTAGTAATAATAATAATTTATATATATTTTTTTTTTTTTTTACCATACGCACAGCTATTCAACATTTTGTTTTAATTACGTTACATTCATATTAAAAATTTATATTTCTCAAGCAACGATTTTTTTAATTTTAAGAACATTCAAAATATTCTTTACAGCACACCGTGCTTAGAGATATTAAACAAACTATGTAATATTGTATAATCACAATTGGGCTTTTTGATCATTATATAATTATCCAATTTTTTAGTATTTAAGAGTATTATGAACATCGGTATCGGCCGATATATTATCGGCAGTTCTAATCGGTTTTAAGTTTTTTCTGTATTATGAACCGATACCGATAAAAATATTTCAACCGATTAAAAGAAGCTTTTTCATACAAATTTTTGTTTTTGTAAATTGGAGAAAAAGTTTTTTTTTTTTTCTAATGACATTTGTTTTCTTTCAAAAGTTATTTTCAAAAAATTTTTAAAACTATTTTGAATTTGGTTTTGATGTGCTAAAAAGTTGTTGTAAGCAAATTATTTTCTGTTAAATTTGTAAAATAAATATATACATATATCGGGAAAATGTCGCGTGCATTATATTTTGAAAGTGAAGAAACGGTAGTAAGTGAAGAAACGCAAGCTATTCAAAGACGACATATAAGAGATTCAACTAATCCATTGGATTTAGACAGCAAAATGTATGTTTATGTACCTATTTTATTTTATTATTTATATAATATGTACACATTTTTTAGGTTTATCCAGAATTTCAGATTATCATTCCTTGCCAGGTTTAAGTCCTCTTCCATTTTTTCTACTAACCGCGCAATTTGTTTTTTGTTGCTTACGATTTTACTCCTAAATAAAATATATGAATAACATTTTGAAAGAAAATAATTTAGAAAAAATGCTTACATTTTAAAAAAGCAATTAATTACACCAGTTTCCTTGATAAAATGAAGATTTTACAAAAAAAAAAATCTGTCGTCTAAAAATTTGTACCCGCTTTTAAATCGGTGAAAATCCGACAATTTATCGTTTTCATAATACCAGCTAATACGTTTCCTATACAGGAAAAAAAGCTTTCCCGACTCCGATAAAATTTACCGATAAACAATGTTGGTAATACAAACACAAAATTTTGCCGATAAATTATCGTTTATCGGCCGATACCGATATACATAATAGAGGGGAATAATTCTAAATATTTTTTTACAGTTAAAAATTTTTACATATTATGTAGTACACTTGGAGCTCTGATATATGTACGTGTATGCTTTATTTTTTGATGCATGCATGCTTCATTTGTTAAACTTATATGTATGCTTTGTTCGTTCACAAAATGCAATCGATATCGATTTCTTTTGAATCGAATTATATAATTACAACAATGCTGGTCAAGAACAATTCGATGGCTCCAAATACAGAACTATGCGCACATGCACCCATCTACAAATTATGCTGCATTTTGGGAAAAAACTTAATACATAGCACTTTATTGCTGAAAATATATACTATTTTATTTAGTTGGTTATTTCTGGCAACATTTATATGACAAGGTATAAGAAAAGCGTGCTCGATTTTTTCGATACCCAATTTACTTTTATTTTACGCGTCCACTACGTATAGAACGCATTTAGGAAAAGTATACAATGTCAATAGCTTTTACTAAACTTTTTGGAATGTGATACTTTGTAAAATTTACGTCGTAAGCACATTATTGAAGTCACGGTACCTCGAAAAAATATATCGACTAAAAAGAATTTAATAAATATCCGTTGATCTCGTTTCTTTTCGCATGTGTACATAATTTATTTACTTTGTTTTTGAAAGTTCAGTCGGTATTTAAAAAAAATATAAAAATCCAATTAACTGGAAGGTCCTTTAGAAAAGCGGAGAATTCTGATATGAAAGTCAATAAAAAGTGATCAATGGCTTTGGATCTACATATTATTAAAGAGTTCAGAACGAATAAATTGCGACAGTCTAGTAAGATTTTGATATTTTGTATTTTAATGGCGTCTAAAACCAAATTGATTGATCTGGCAAAATATTATTATTAGATAAAAATTTTGGAATTTTAATTTTTAATACTTTTTCTAAAATTTTTTTAAAAGTACACAAAAGACTGATGTTGCGGTATTTCGACGGATTATGTAAAAAATTTTTAAGACTTGGTTTTCCACTAGTTTGAAAAGTAGCATAACTTTAGGCACGTATTAATAATTAACGTCAGAAAAACAATTCCCGCTCTTGGAAAGTGTTTTACCTATCTATTGGAATTTCCATCACAGCTCGGAGCCTTACGATTTTTCAATGAATGCATTATTTCTGAAATAGAAAATTATTTATTATTTTATTTTTTCAATTTGCAAATTTTTAAGAAAAAATAAAAACACACGAAAAAATATTTTATCTTTTTTTATTTTTCTCATTCTTTTTATTTATATCGTCTTATTTTTCACAAAAACAAATTTACAATTTCTCATTTTTTTATTAAAAAAAAAAAAAAGAAATTTAAATAATTTACTTATTTATTTAATTATTTTATATATGTATATATATATATATATATATATATATATATATATATATATATATTGTGTTTTTTGTTTATAAATTATTTAATCATTGAATTATATTTTATATATATATATACATATATTTATATTTAAGTATTTGTTTTCAGAGTTCAATTTTGCTTTGATTTCATTTCCAAAGTAAATGCAAGCTTTGAAAAAATTAAAATTCTTAAATTGGAAATTCTCTGGAAATTTTTGTTTGTTATTGTTTATTTTGCTGTATAATTTATCATTTTTCTCAGATGGAAATACAAAATTTAAAAAGGAATTACAACTCATCATAAGCCGAGTTGTGTAATATACCGTATGTGTGTGATTGCAATGTTTGAAAATCAACGAAAGTATTGCTAAGAATTTGCATTTGAAAATCTTTCCACACGTATACTTACAAATTTCCCAGAAATTGAATATTTTATTTTAGCAGATTTTATAACAGTCTTGGACTTACTTCTTCGAATTTATAATTTTTAAGTATAGGTATAAAAAACAAACTCAAAAATTCCTTTTAGAACTTTAAATGAAACTGTCATTTTCAAATATTATATTTTTGCATATTTTGCAGTTTTGATTTATCGAACTTGTGCTTTTTATTATAAAGTTCTAAGTTAGAACTGAATTTTTGGAGATCTTCCAATAAAAATCCCACATATATGCGATGACATTCTATTGTATTTTGTAGTAATTTACATTTTCTCCTTGTCTTTTATTTTTTTGCTGTTTCGTTTAAGTATTGGAATATTCCTATATATAGAAGCATATATTAAGCATATAAGAACTCCGATAAATTTTTTGTATTTATATACTGCAGACTTCAACAAAAATGTTAATAAATATCAATTTACAACTTTAATTTATTCATCAATAATATAATTTAATATATATTACACATATTCAATTAACCATATAGGAATGTACTGGACTTGCGGTATCTCGCTTATAAATTAGTACAATGGGAACAAAATAATATAACACATGAAGAGTGGTGGCTTAATATTTTCCTTTTACATATTGACAAGGTTCAAAAAAAGTTCCGTACAAAGGTATATATATATATATATATATATATATTACTATGTGTATATATATATAGTAAAAGATACTGGCAAAGTGATTATGATTACAAAATGAAGAAAATCAATGTTAATACAACTTATTTATAAACGAATAGTATTTACACATAACCCTTCTTTTTTAAAAAAATGTGAAAAAATCTAAATCTAACACACATTTCTATACAATTTAGATTTTTTCTCAGTGATATGGTGATCGTTGATATTATTAAATTTCTATTTTTGTTATTTAGCAATTGTACTTGTGTATATTAAAATTCAGCAATTAAATCACATTACTGAAACTAATTACATACAATGTACATATAATATGTATGTAATGGCAAAAAGAAATAATCGCCAAGGTGATTATTGCTAATTTTCAAAAGAGCAAAAATTAAAATTTGTATAATTATTACAATTTCAAAAAAAAATTTCTGAAATTTTAAATTTTGAGATTATCACCGATATCCCCCCCCCCCCCCCCTCCACCCCCTTTTCCCTCGTCGTAATTGTAATATATAGACTGTTTCCAAGTATATCAAATGCGTGGAATTGATGAATTACCCATATGAATACCAACGTGACATAAACAATATAATTGGGAAACGGCCACTATTATTTTTATGTAATTGCGCTGAATTGTTTGAAAATGAGTGGGTTTTTTAATTTAGTATGCGCGTGTTATATGTATTTAAAAATACACGCCTTGAATGTCACAAAACACACAAATACTATATACATACATATACTCTTTGACTTTAAAAATCGCCCAGTATGATACTGGTTGAGTATTAATAATATACGATTCAACTTTAAGAAATTGGTAATTAATTTTTATTCATTCAAGTATTACCTACATACCAGTATTAAAGCAATTATGAAGTTATGGTTTTTATGCCCCTGTTTTATGTTCTATAGGAAGGAATAAATGCATATATGTTTTTTTTTCATATATGTATACATTATTATATTATTTACTATGTATTATGCATATTGCAAAGGAAAGTTACATAACAATATATATACATATATATATATAAAACTATTTATACATATATCGTATTAAATAATTGTGTTTTATGAGTGAGTGTGTAAATAAATAATTTTTCTTTTTTTTTTGTATTTTGATTGCCTTTCATTTCCATATTAATGAAGTATATGGATGAAATTATTTTCATTTATAAATTTCAATATTTAGGCAAATCATGTATTTCCGTTATTATTTATATATATATATATATATATATATATTTATTTATATAACTACATTATGCAAAAAAAAAATTTATAATATTCTCAATTTTAATATGGCAAATACCATAGACTAAAAGATATTTATTTATTCTATGGCAATACTGTTATTTTATACATATACATACATAATTTTGAATTAAATATTTTTATATTTTGTTTTTTTTTTTAACTAATTAAATTATCGCATATAATTTTTACCATAATTATAGGTGCTAACATAGAGGAAGATTTCTTTTTTTTTTGTCTTTTTTGTGTTTTTATTTTGTTTTATCAATTCTTATCAATATTACCAGGGAGTATATATGTATAAAAAATTCTCGAAAAAAATGCTGGGATAAATTAACACATAATATAATAAATAATATACAATATTGTTTATATTTTATACGCTCTATATTTTATTAAAGTATTAATTTTTTTTAATAGAAAATCTAGACATTTTAAAATCTGAAATAAAAGCATTATACATTGTATATACATATATATGTATATTAAATATTAAAATCATTTGTATTATTTACTAAGCTATGGAGACATAGGGAGATAGAGAGAAAGAGAGAACATTATAAATTTTTTTTAATAAAAATTTTAAAAAATATAAATGCGCGTTCTTCTAATTATATGAGGACAATTTATTTAGAATATTATTATGAATAATACATTCAAGAATTTATTTTAGTAAATCAATAACAACAATATTGGGAATACTTAAAAAAAGAAATAATGTTATAAAAATCTTATTTGAAAATTAGAAGTTAGACAAAGAAATTTATGCAGAAATAATATTACAAAATCCCCTCCTCCTTCCCCATCGCGTATTTTTAATCAGCAGTGAAGTATTTTTAATCGCGTATTTTTAATTCATAAGTGAATTTGATTCCAAAATTCCAGTGTTTTTTACATTCCTCGTAGTTTCGAAAAAATTTCAATACCAAATGCGATATGCAAAAATATTTGAGAAATCGAACGTATCCCGGCTATCGAACTGTGCGATGAATATTCCTGTGATTTATTAAAGAAAATAAAGTAGGTACATATTTCTCTATTTGAGTCTCTAACCCTTCCGTCTCTAACCAATGGGTTTTTTAAGTGTATATATAAGTATATTAAAACCAAACTAATTTTTAAAAATTCCTATTTTAAATATGGCATGGCGGCGGCCCAATATTATCAAAAGGGACAAGAAAAAAAAGTTGTATATTAAAAAGAAAACTGAAGCTTTCGAGAGAGTTTAATGCGATGCGATGCGTTTCTTTTTTTTTTGTAATTTTTCATTTTTTTTTGTTTTTTTTTTTTTTAATATGTTTTTTTTTATTTATTATTTTGTCCTATATATCAAAAATTCTATATTGTTTTTTGAATGTGTTTATGTTCACGTATGTATATGCATGTATTTGATTTATTAATATTATTATGCGATTTACTACTCCCTGAGAGACTGAGATTCTTTGTTTTTTATATTATTCAATTATCTTAATATATAAGGTATATATATATATATATATATATATTAAGTATATATATATATATATACATATATATTATGTATATATCTTATTTATTTTGTAGATATATAAATTGCAATGTTAACAAATTTTTTGTTTTTTCTTTTCTCTGTTTTTATTCATTTTTTTTTACATTTACCAATTTTTCTGAATAATTTTCATATATTTTTTATATAAATGTATTTATATGTACCTATATATATATATATATATATATATATATCTTTACATGTATATATACGTAACCTATCACTTAATAAATGATATCTTTTTTTTTTATTTTATATTTTCCTTAAATTTACATACCATTCAAATGTCTCGTTTTTTTTTTTTTTTGCTTTTCAATTTAGATAATCAAATTAATATTATGATTTCTATATTATATCTGTATATATTTATATATATATATATATATATATATATATTACATATTTAACTATGTTAATATGTGTATATATTATACATATATGTATAGAATATATATAAATATGTTAATAGATGTATATATATATATATATATATATATATATATATATATATATATATATATATATATATATATATGTTTAATATATCTATTTAATTTTATTTTTATTAATTAATAATAAACTTAAAATTATTTACATTTACATTGTTGAATTATCCCATTCAAGTTGGCTAACGTTTTTATATTTACCATTTAGAACTACAGCCAAGAAACAAAAGAAAACAAGAAAAAAAAATTAATTAAATTAATCAACTAAAAAATTTTTTAAAATGAATTATATATAAAAATAAAATTGGGAGTAAGGATTGTTTCAACAATAAAATGTAAAATAAATAAATATTTCTGTTTTTGAAGACCCCAATCAATATCGTTTTGTGTGTAGTGCAAGATAGTACAGCATTCAACAATATCAGTACTGAACTAGAAAAATCCATAATGCCGGACGACAACAATTGCTTCTCATACGATAAGCAAACCCGCACTCAATCATTTCAATCATTTCAAAAAAAAGCATTTTTATGTCAACTTTCGTATAAAAAAAAATTGATTGAGCTTCAAGTTTAGTTCGAAAGTTTTTGAAATTTTTACATTATATTGATTTTAAATTTAAAAATTTTGTGCGTTTATACGTGGTTCAATCCTTTCTATATATTATATATACTTCATTTTTCTAACAGAATTAAATTAATTTTTGAATATAAAACATAAAGATTTTCGATAGTTCACATACATATATTGTATAGATTTGGAAACTTCTAAGATTTAATTAAAAATCTTTTCAGAAATGTTTGCAAATCTGCCAGATCGGAGTAAATCATAGGATACTCGGAGTAAATCTTAAATTTCCAACAGTTTTCTATTATTTATGCGCCTCTTTGTCTAATTAAAAATATTTTTACCGTAGCTATAAAAAAAACTTTAGAATTTCTTTAGAATTTTAAACACTGTCATTTTCGAATATGCTTTTTTTGAAGATTTTGCAGTTTTGGATTTACCAAACGTATGCGTAGTTTAGAACCTAATTATTGAAAATCCCCATCCTGAAGGTATTTTATACTATTTTAATTCAAATTAATTTCAGAAAAATTAAAATAATATTTTAAAATGACATATTTTAAAAAATAACATTTTCTATAATTTTGAAATAAATTATTTGAAATAAAAAATTATTTTTTTCTAAATTGCAAACCTTCATCATCATCTGAGTCAGAATTTTCAGATTCAGAACTTTCATCTGAGACAACATCATTTTGCATTGGATTTATTGTAATTGTTAATGCTGAATCATCCCAATCTAATTGTTCAGTTGCAATCTATAAATTATAATTAAATTATAATATTAGAAAAAGGAAAGCAGTTTTGTTGTAATAAAAAATATAAATTCCACCTTAGGACATGGCTGACGCCTTTCCATATATTTGTTATTATTGTTTCGTATACGAGCAATCGAAACCCCACACAATAAAATCACAAAGAAAACACAAATTACAATTATGAGCATTGTTGGATGTGAGCTTTGTGCTAAAATAGAGAAAAAGAAATAGCTTTAAGATGCTTTAAAGAAAATTACTTTATTTAAAATAATTCAAAATGTAAAAGATGAACATTACCTCTATGTATAATTGAATGTATTTTAGATTTCGGCTCTTGTACATCATGTGAATGTACCATTGCATGAGCGAAAACATTGGATTCTTGAAGAAAAAAATAAAATTAATCAATTAATATTTATCGTGAGTAAAATATAACTTTAAGTTTACTATGAATACTTTCTAAAATGAATAAAATGTGCTCACATACAGAACATCAATTTTTATACTGAAATCATCTTATGTTACACTTTGAGCTCCAAGAAATGCAGTACAATACTATATTTTAAATTCTATTCAGAAATTGAATAGGGTATAAACAATACTGAACTGAAGAACAGTAAGGAAAATATTAAATGCACACTTTATTCATTAGAAATGTTTTTTTATCACAAAAAAAAGAATTTAATTTACCATGTTGTTTTAACAAGTGCTGCTGTGGTAATTCATTATCCATATTATTATTATTGTTATTATTGTTATTGTTATTATTGTTATTATTATTATTGTTAATATTATTATTGTTATTATCAATATTATTTTGATTACTATTTTTATTTATATTATTTCCACCACTACCAATTGGATTATTTGTTGTTGCAGTATTTGATTGTTTTGGATGTAATACTGTTAATGTTAACGTAAATTCAGCACTTTTAAATCTTGAATTAACTTGTGAGCATGACAATTTAAATACACGATTTAAATAATATGCTGGCTTTTTATTTGTGTATATTAAAGCTTTTAATACATCTAAATAATTATTTGTAGTATCATAACCGATCATTTCGACACCATCTTTATTTATATTTGTTTTGATATCCAATGTTGTTGATAAACTTTCATCATTATCTAATGCTATTTCTTCATGATCTGGATTTAAACTTGGAAATACGCTAACACTGCATGAATCTAATCTTTGTAAATTTGATTGTATTTCATTACCAGAATATACAGTTATATTAATACTAGCCAATATTCTTACACCATCTTTAATATCTGGATATGATACTAAATGATTTGGATTGCCACTGATTATTATTTTTGGTTTATCTGTTTTAATCATATCATTATCATAATTTACATCAGATATATCAGATAATTTATTATGGTTTTGATTATGATTATTATTATTATTATCAACTTGAGATAAATGTGATGATAATAATAAATTTTTGTCTTTTAATATATTATAATCATTATTTTGTATATAATGTCCATTGTTTGATTTTGAATTTATTAAATCTGCTCTAGATAATGTTAATAATGGATTAACTGATGTATCCATTATTGTACCAATTGATGATTGCTGTTGTTGTTGCTGTTGTGATAATAAAGATGATGACGATGATGACGAAGATGATTGTAATTGTGGTTCATTAACCATTATATATGTTTCAACAATTGGTAAACGAACTGCTGATTGGTTTGGACATGTTAGTGTTGTTCTTACTTCAATATTTCTTCTACCAATTGTTGGATTCTGTTTTGTATTTATATATTGTATATTTCCCAATAATTGTTCAATATTACTTTTATTACTACCTTCAATATATATTTCATTAAATTGTGAATTAGATTGTACTTCTTGTTCAAATTCTAAATATTTTTCAGATGGTGGTATTAAATGTTCAGCGCAATAAGTACCACAACGTACATCATCTGATGTTAAAATTTTGTTTAATGATAATTTTATTTCCGATATATCACCATTAAAACCATGTTTTAAACGATTCTCAGATCCTTGATAACATGCACCAACTGTTAGTGTTGTATTAACACCATGTGCTGCATGTAATGGCCAATCATCGATTACCTCTGGATTACTATGACGATCTTCAGCTGTATTTTCGAATTTCGCTCCGTCAATATATAATTCGACTTTTGGTAAATCAATATTTAATACATAATGATGCCATTCATTATCACATACTTGTGGTATTTTCCAACGCCATTCAGCCGGGCTGAACATATTTAAATCACCTTCATTGTAATTTTTACGTATCAATAGTATCAAACGACAATTTCGTACAAATAATGCCATATGATGCCGATTCATTTCTACGTATAAACAAAATAAAAGCAAAGGAAAGAAAAACATAAAAAATTGTATTAAGAATAAAAACTATTTTACTTTTAGCTTAACAATCTAACATACTACAAAAATGTAGTATGTGAGATTGTTAAGACGGAACTGTTTTAAATTACTGTGATCATCCGCACTACATATAATATGTTCTTTGGCATGTTTATTTGATTGTGATGAGCTGGTATGCTTAAACATTGCAACAATACTGAATGGATTAGAACCAAAATCATGTTTTGTAACTAAACTATCTGGTACAATTGCACCCGATGAGCCATCAAAATGAAAAACAGATTCTAAACCTTCATCATATATTAAATCTTTTGTCCATTCTGCACCTTTTGGTAATACATCAATTAATTGGTGATTTTTAGAGCATTGTGTTATATCACGGTCGCAACCAAATGATATGTGCTTTGTCTAAAAATATTAAAAAAATTATTTGAATAAAATAAAAAAAACTAAGTTTTTTTTATTAAAAATATTACCTTTAAACTGACTGATACATGAATATTCATATTTTCCTGGTTACAATGAATATCACATAACTCAATCCGTATATTTGGGAATAACGATAGACTTTCCATTGAATTTGCCTAAAATTAATTTCAATTTTGATGTTTTGAGTTTTTTTAAAAGAGGTTTAGCCACATTTTGTATATATAATACGCATACCGTATAATCAATCCTTTCTGGTATACCAGCAAGACGTGCTTCACAAACTCTTCTTACTTTAATACTAGCCATTATTGGTACAGATTGTTTCATAGCACAATCATATGCAACAACTTGTAATATATGATTATGACTTATTTTATGTGATAATGGTTCTGTATTTTTTATAGAACCTTCATTATCAATTGTAAATGGTTCATCATCATTTAATATTTTATATTTGCATACATCACCATATGGTGGTGTACAATCTTTATCTGTTGCTTCAACACGTAATATCTCTTGATATAAACGTCCCTCATCAACTTCAGTTACATATGATGGTTGTAAAAATGTTGGTGCATATTCATTAATATCAATAACAGATATATGAACATTGGCCGGAATTGAATGTGAACCATCACATAATATTGCAATTATTTCAAAATGATAACCACGACGTTTTTCACAATTTAATGTACGTCTAGCTTTTAATATTCCTAAATTATTAACCAATTCAATCTAAAAAAGAAAATAATTAAGTAATTGATTTATATAGTAATTGTACATAATTTGTTTTTGTTGTCTTTACAGCTTACCCGAAATGGTATTTCATGATGCGGTTTTTTAAGAATTCTAAAATCACAAACTTTCTGCTCATCCACTTTTATCAATGGTGTTATTTCAACAAACGTTTCATTTTCCCTTATTAATCCATGGTACGATTTTTCTAATATATGCTCTGTAAGTATATTTTAAATTAATTGTTTTTATATTCATATTATTTAAAATAGTATAAATTGTGCATAAATTCGATAAGATTCTGGACGTTTAGAGTGCGAAATTTATGTAGTTTGAATAAGTTTATTAATATTCCTTACAACTCTTAACTATATTTTAAAAGACTAAAAGAAATTTTTGCATTTTGACCCATGAAGGACTAGAAATTTAGATCCATATTCAAATTCTATTTATTTATTTCGTCTTAGTTGATTTCTTGTACAAAAAATTAGTTTATGTACTTCAGTTATTGATATTGAGGAATGTTTCGCATATTATGGGAATTTAAACAGAAAACAAATTGAAAATGTGAAAAGGGAATTTAACAAAAATATATGAGAATTTTTATAAATTCCAATAATTTCATCGGTTATACTTCTAATAAAACAAACCAAATATATGTAAATTTTTTAGCATTAAACAAACTATAAAACAAAATTTGATAGGACCACCAAACTGTCTATTTTTTATTTGCAACTGTTTATGAAATTTTTCTATAGAACTTACCTTTTTGTAATAAATAATTGTCATGCTCACTAGCACTGTCGCCGCTGTTACTGTTGCTTACGCTACTAAACTTATTCGAAAATCCAAAATTTATTTTTAAACATAATAGAAATGTTATTAATATTGTTTTTGAATCCATTTTTAATATTCTATTTTGTACCATTTTGAATTTATTAATTTATATAATTATATTTTTTTTCTCTCTCGTTCTCTCTGCCACTGGTATTACACGCGCACTGAATTAAAAAAACAATAAATATTAAAATATTTAAAATTGGAAAGCAAATTTTTTTTTCTTTTAATTAACAGTAAGCATTTTAAATATTTTCTTTTTTTTTTTGTCCAATATTAATTAATATTGTGTTTTTTAAATACAAACATATATAATTTTAAAAAATTTCTGTTAGCTAGAAGTTTAGAAAAATAAATACCAATCCCTTGGGCACATAAAAATGAATTGATTACAGTAAATGATCAGTTCTAAAGGAAAATGATTGTTATAGTAAACGATCATACACAATTTTGTGGAACGATAGTATGAACAGAGTCCATTAAAGTTTATATTTATTTAATTTCTGACATAAGTCTTTATGGGTACAGTGATTTTCCTTCTAAATTTTACCACTGATTTTACTTTAATTTGAAACAAAAGAAGGTATGAATCGTAAAATTTTACTATTTTGGACTTACTATTTTTTTTTATTATTGGAAATCTTTTAATTTTATCTCTTGTGTTTACTATTTATCTGGTTTTTTGTTATCCTTGCGTTTTACCTTTTCAATTAAAAATTTCCGTTTTTCGAAGTGGAACAAAACTAATTAGAACATACATATTTTTTATTTATTTTATATTTATGTTATTTTTAACAACAAAATAAATAAAAAAAAAACTCAAAAATAATAAAAAGGAAGAAAAGAACAATTGTGTATACAACAAAATATACTCATTTATTGTACATTTAATACAAAGTGTCTACATTCCAAAGATACTATCATCATATTTTCCAGGTAAAATACTAAAAAAATTTTTTGAAAATTAAAAGACAAAAGCCTGAAAATTTTCAAAGAATTTTTGTTTTTCCCATTCGCTCCGGTTTTATTGAGTTCGATTTCTTACAATGAGAATTCCACTAAGTTAAGGTTAATCAGGGCTTTCAATATTCCGTATACTATTTATTGACACAACGTACAGTAGTGTATACGATGCATACATTTGATTTTGGTAGTTTAAATTTTAATTTATAACATTTCACATATTAATATTAAATTAACGCTATTAATAACACTTATTTTATCTCCCCCTTTTCTTTTCCGTCTATGTAACTAAATTTAGTAACTGATAGGAACTTTTGTTATAACTAAGTGATTTATATTTTGCTATATTAAATGTTTGTACTAAGCAATCGTCTGATTATATTAATTCATAATTATTTCCACACAGGTAAATGTTTTCGAAAAAAAAAGATGATTACTTGTTAAAATTTTTTTTTTGCTTTTACAGAACAATATTGTTTATATGAAATTAATTTCGACTCAACACTTTGTTTTATTATTATTAAAGTGTATAGAGATGGTAAAAGGAAAATACCTGTATATTGTGTACATGTACTTATAAGTGCACATGGAGGTACTTATAAAACAAAAAATCCTTATACATATCCTTTTAATTAAATATCGATTTTAAGTATGTATATATATATATATATATATATATATATACACACTCATATATATATGATATATATATATATATATATATATGATATATATATATATATATATACATATATATATATATATATATATATATATATATATATATATATATATATATAATATATATATATATATGTATATATTTATATCTAAACTAAATAAATAAAAAAAGAATAAAAAGTTTTACATAAAAAGCATCCATAGGATTAAAAGAGAAGATAAACAGATTTGCTATCATCACCTCCCGCCCCTCCCCCCTCCATCCTTCCAATAAACACTTGTATTTATAAATTCAGGATTAATAATTAAGTGAAAATTAATTGAAAATTTTTTTCTTATAGGTTTAAAATTTTCATATATATATATTTATGTATGTATACATTGGGTAGTTGCCGCAGACCCTATCGTATCCTTTTTAAATGTCAATCCAATTATTTATTTACATCAATATACATATACTTAACAAAATTAATTAGAAATATTACAATAAATTAAAAACAAAAAACCTTGATTTAAAAAAAATAAATAACGTTATCTATAAGTAAAGAGAAGCAATTAAAAATTTTTTATAAATTAATTTTAAATATATGTATATTAATCTTACATTTGCAATCTCCGAAATTTATAATTAATGACACTATATATATGTATATATATATATATATAAACATATATATTTTAATTATAGTTACAAAGCACGTTTCTTGAAAGTGTGTACCTCTCACCTCCCTCCGACACAGTTTCCCCATATTACCAGATTTATCTGATTTTTCAGATTTATTGGAGGGTCTGCCAGATGACCGAATTTCTTACCCAAAATGCGAGATTTTTTGAAAGTTGCCAGATTTTTCGACACACCTGGCATCATAAAATTATACTTGTTTTATTCAAATAGTTTAGCCTATATAGTGTTTTGTTGCCAGCAAATCTAGAACGAACCTTTTCTGTCAATAAATAAAAATAACACCAAAAATAGAAACACACTGTCAACAGACATATTAAATGAAATATTATTACGTAATGATTTAAAACAAAAAACTAATATACCTGTTATGATTTCATAATTAATAAAAATATGTTAAATAAATTCAATTTAAGAGTGTATAAAATATTAACTAAATAATTTTTCGAAAACATTATTTTAGGCATTTTTAAAAATTTAATTGTAATAAGAACAGTTTTTGATAAATACATGCTATATTAAGCGTTTCAAAAACTGAAATGATTTATTTTTTATAGGTATTTTGTTTTGTTGATTGTTGAACATTCATTTATTAAAAAATAGTTAAATATATGACAATAAAAATGTGCTTAAATGTCTGAATTTAAACCAGTTTCTTTTCTTTTCATGTTGCCAGATTTTTCAGATTTTTTGATATTTTCCAAGTTTTCTGCAAAATCAATATGGCAACGCTGTTCGCACGTCAAAAATAAATCTGGCTCCCCTTGAACTCTCTATATATTCGGTTAATGTAAAAAAATTTATGTCAAGGTATTCGAACAAAAAAAAATAGATAAAAGATTCGCGTTTAGTCTAAAACGGAAGTTCTTCTCTTATTTCAAATGACTTTTATATGCTTTGATACTTCACTTGGAAGAATATTGAACCTCAAACTACGCTCAGTTATGTCAGCTTGAAAGACCGAAATGGCAATTATGTTGTCCAAAAAGTTTTATGTATATAAGCAGAAACTCCTTGTACATGAAACACTGACAAAACATTCAAAAATATTTATATTTATACAAGTTTTGTGTTATATAATGCAAGTTCCTATTAAGTGTTACAAATCTGCAGCATGAATAATTTAGAAAAATTACATGTGGGCAAAATATCCAATGCGTATATAAAGGAGTTTTGCTTATATGCGTGTGTCAAATAGGTGCGTGTTCGACTGCATAACAAATTAAGTAGGCCAACCAATGGTTTGTAATGTAGCACTGTTCCCTTCAACAAGTAAAAATACTGCTTTTAAAAACAATCTAACTATCTACTCCATTACTAAAATTGCTTTCATTAATTTCTGTGAAAAATTACTTTCTTAGGAAATAGGTAACAATTTCTTTGTACGGAAATAAGTTTCTAGTAAAGATCCATGTACGCATGAAATTTCAGCTTTCTATCTTCAAGGGTGTAGAAGTTTTGTAAACATGTCCGCGGACGGACTGTGTGAAACTAAGAAACACTTTTTTTTTTTATTTTTTTGGAAAAATGCTAAAAATATAAAAACCAAACGTAAATATTAAATATGAGAAATTGTTACATGCAATATAACAACAATATTTAAATAATCGGCAAAAAAAACTATTTAAAACAAATTATTCCGGAACTGAAAAAAAAATTGCCATTATTCCTTTGAATATTAACTCACGGAGAAAAATATGAATAATGCATGTGAAGATCGCAAAATTTAGGGAAATTTTCGATTTCAGTTAAACCTGAAATCTGCCTATCCTGCAACCTGTCCGAGAAAAAAACTTCATATCACTTGCGATTCCGTTTCCAGCAGGTTTTACTGTATTATGATAAACAATTTTTGTTAATTAATCACTCTGCATATATACATACATATGCACATTTACAATACTCTAATAGTAATATAATACGCATACACAGAGAAAAAAAAATATTTATGTATAATAAAAAAAGGCGAGATATGGAAGTTTTTCTTTTCTTTTTCGTTTTTGTGTGTGCTTTTTTCTTTTTTTGTGTACATGCACCCAATCTATATATTAATATGCATTTATTTATGTATAAATGTAGGTAAAAATTGAAATTTTTTTTCAATAGCTAATAAAAGTAATTTTTAAAGAAGAATGCGGGAGAAATATATAAGATCCTTCCTCTCCACACTCTTCAGTCAATTCCCTCTTTTTATGAGAAAATCAATTCCCCATCCTCGTCCCCATCCTCCTCCACTGAAGGAGAAAGAAAGAGAGCTAATTTTTTTATTAATGATAATTTTGTTATTGTTGTTATTGCCTTTATTCAAATTACCACTTTCAACTTAAATATTTTTGTGTTTTTTTTTTTAAATAAATTGCGTTACAATATTTTTTTATGTGCCATTTAAGGATGGTATGTTATACAATAATTATACAATAATACAACAATAAGTTGATTTTTAATTTACATAATATTTAAAAAAAATCTTTATTTTAATTTTTCAATATTTTTATTTTTATATTTTCTCTTTTAATTCGTTTTTTTCTCATTCTTTTTGGATTCAAATAATAATTTTTGGAAAATCAATTAAGATTCTGCACAATATTTTCACAGATTTTTCACAATTAATTAAAATATTTTTTTTTAATTGTTTTTTTTTTGATATTTTGAAACACGAAATTTTATATATAAAATAAATTTAGATCGAATTTTGTAGGTACAAATTATTTGTTTTTTATTTTTTTTTTATTTTTACGCAAATATTTTTAACCTTGTTTTTTTTTTTGTTTAAAACGAAAAAAAAACAAATAATAATATAAGAAAACTTATTCATCAATATATGTATGACGACCTCAA